AAATAAATGCCAGATTTTAGAGCATAATAATAAATCTTTTTAACACATGTAATCATTCCAAAGAACATCAAAAGTGTTAGAACATTATAATATGGCAGCAGTAAGTTAAATGTTCTACAAATATAACAAGATATATATACACATATGTATACAAATATACAGCTATTCTTCATATTCAAAATTAACAACACATATATAAACAGCTTACCTATCTGTGCATAAAACTGTATCATCTGATTTAATAATTTCTGGAAAAACCTGCCAACCTTTTAAATAGACTGAATGGTCTCAAAATACATAGGTTTAAACAAGTAAGACTTACATTCGTTCCATTTCATTTGGTATATGGTCATTTTTATTTATCTATAACACTTTTAATTTTTTTTTTTTAACGTGTATTTTATTTTTGACACAGAGAGAGACAGAGCATGAACGGGGGAGGGTCAGAGAGAGAGGGAGACACAGAATCTGAAACAGGCTCCAGGCTCTGAGCTGTCAGCACAGAGCCCGACGCGGGGCTCGAACTCACAGACCGCGAGATCATGACCTGAGCCGAAGTCGGCCGCTTAACCGACTGAGCCACCCAGGTGCCCCTTGTCTATAACACTTTTAAAAGTAACTAACAGAACTATTTCTTTTGAATTATCCTAAAACTTATATTTTAATTAAAAACTTCTCAAAATCCAAAGCCTTGATTTTATGAAAGCTTTATGCAAGGAAAATGGGACATATCTATATTCTACTAAACCAAAGGTACATAATTTCCTGGAACCAGAAAATCAAGTAATCATTACTAAAATAAACCTATATCATCAGCACATTAAAATATGTTGTAAAATAGGGGCTCCTGGATGGCTCAGTTGGTTGAGCATCCAACTCTTGATTTCAGCTCAGATCATGATCTCACAGTTTGTGGGACTGAACCTGTTTGGGCTCTGTGGTGACAGCACAAAGTCTGCTTGAGATTCTCCCCCGCCTCTCTGCCCTCCCCCCTGCTCATGTTCTCTCTCTTAAAATAAATAAACATTAAAAAATAATTAAAAAGGGGGGGGGCACCTGAGTGGCTCAGTCGGTTAAGTGCCCAACTTCAGCTCAGGTCATGATCTCACAGTCCGTGAGTTCGAGCCCCGCATCGGACTCTGTGCTGACAGCTCAGAGCCTGAAGCCTGCTTCTGATTCTGTGTCTCCCTCTCTCTCTGCCCCTCCCCTGCTCATGCTCTGTCTCTGTCTCAAAAATAAATAAAAACATTTAAAAAATAATAATGATAATAAATAAAATGCCTCAGAAAATAATTTTTAGAAGTGAATACTTGGTGAAAACCTCCCAACAATTCCACAGTACCCTCAACTGAGTTTAACAAGACATCCAGTCTAGTTTCCCCATTCTATTCAACTTGGAAACTAAAGCCAGCGAAATTTGCTTATATCATTTTTTGCCTGTCAACACAGGGCCAAGTATGGCTATCTGCTGATCTTTTCCTGGAGATTCACTACTTACTATAAAAACCAGATGAGGTGGTCTTATTTATGAAGTATTTTTTTTTTTAAAAGACCACAGTGTTAAGCAGCTTTGACAACCTACATAAAGAGTTGAACAGTTATTCTTCTTCAACTTCAATACAGTTGAAGTGTATTAGGTTGACCTAATACACTAAAATATCCTTTAACTGTTTTTTAAAGTCATAAACAGATCTCCACACTAGACGAAACTCAGAACTTGCAACCCAGTATAGTTTATTTGATGTAGCTACTCTGTTGTAGTTGCAGAGGCTACTATTTATGATATATATAACTGACCTCCCTGCTTCCTCTACTCATATCTTACTCCTACCTAATGATCTTCTATTCATTTAGGCATTTCAAACTTTGCTCTTTTAAGGTTTGCTTCTGTATTCAAACCTTTAATACAATAGGATCATTTAAAATTATGCTAAATATTGTACTACTAACAAAACAGTTATTTCTAGAGAACTCTTCATTTTTCAACAATTAAAACTAAGCACTTCTGTTGCTTAATACTATTTTTCAGAAAGGACATATTCACTAACTATGTAAAATGGTCCTTTATGACGTGGGTTTTCTGCAAAGAAGATCCCTATATGTATGGTAGGACTATGGCTCTAACACAGCTGAGTCGATTAGTTATAGACCATGATGAAAAGTCCTCATTGGCCTTTAATTTCTTCAATTTTCTTTTTCCAGCTCGTATGTTTTATATCTTCATAGTTCTTAAGAAAAATCAAATTTAAAGCTGGAAAAATAAAACTCTGGTTGTCCTATCACTAAAGCTAATTGTCAATTTTTGAATGTCTTTCCAACTGGTTATTTTGGACGCAAATCTGATTACTTCAGCTTCTATCTTCTCCTTCCCTAAAATTAGGCTACCTTTGATTATTTACACTCTGTGGCTACCTCTCTGCCACCCATCTATTTTGGTCTAGTAATGGTCTCTGTATGACTCAATTATGGCTGTGTAATGTGTCTAAAAAGGAAAAAATCGGTCCTCTCTCTTCCTAAACATCATTTTGGCTCCCCTTTTCTTCTATCAATATTGTACTATTCTGGTATTAAGATTACTTAATAAAATGTTAAAAATAGTTCACACTTTATTCTCTTAAGTACAATTAATTTTCAGACAGTGACAAAGTTTAGGACAGAACTGAGTCAGAAAGCATAAATTTTCTCTCTGGAGACAAGGACAGGTTATCAAATCACCCTACTCATATCTGTATAAGGCCAGCTCTATTCTGACATAAAGTGAAAAGATTTGGGGTAATCTATGCCTTTCAAATTTTAAACAGATTTTACTATTGTTAAGAAGCAATCACGTATACTGGAATGTTACCACTTGCATTCTCTTGTCCTAGCCCCTCTCCCTCTTCTGTTAGTTTGAATTGTTTTTATGTTTGTATTTTTATTTTTCTTTCTCTTCTTTGAAAAGAATCATCCTATTTTTGAAGTTGTTTTATATTAGAGTCAATAATGACTAAGCACTTAAGTGCCAATTTGTGGGTATCTACAACATACCGGGCACTGGATTTTTTACCTCTGACTTAATTCTTACAACTTGGCAAAACAGGCATATTACACTCCCTTTACAGATGATGAAGTTGAGGCTCAAGGAAATTATGTAACTTGCCCAAGCACACAGCTAGGAAACACCTCCACTAGGAAATGTCAAGAATTCAACCTCCTGTTGTCCAACTCCAAAGACCATACTCTTTGCACTCCACGATCCCTCCACAAAAACCTTTCTCATCTATTTCAGCTAACAGCTTAGTCTTCAAGACTTGATAACTTTAAGAGGCACTATGGCCATCAAGCTTCACCTTAGGTGGTTCATTATAATATGCTCTTCCCACAGTATTTGATGCCTTATTTATCAACTTTCAAGAAGCTATAGTGTTCTTTGATAAATGAGAAATTTCTCAAAGTAACAAGTAACACCTAAATTAGCTACTCATTATCAGATACAAGTCAAGATAAAAGTCACACAGAAATCTTGATTGACAAGATTAGCTTTTCTCCTAAATAACCACTGTAGCAATCATAATAAAAATGATAACGTCATCTTCTATCATTCACAGAATACTTAATTGGTCTGATATTTTCAGCTAAATTACTTACTGAACAACCCTAAATAATATCTAGGATTACTAATATACAGAAACTATCTGCCTAAAGAGGAGTATTAATCAAACCTATCCCCACAACTAATCTCTGTGTGTAGGTACAACCCAAACTGATTTATTTAACAAATGGATTTAATACCATTTTTCCTGGCAATAATCAAATTAGTTTACAAAGGGGCTGATTAAATCATTACAAAGTCTCCTAGTTAAGGGGACAAAAGCAAAGTCAACATAATGAGAAAACAAGAACTATAACCTCCTGTTTCTGTAAACTGAGAAAACGTGAAGATAAAGTGTCAAGTATGCCAGGTGGGTCTACATCCAGCTTCTCACCTTTTCCAGCTCATTTTGAACAGTCAAGCAGCCTTACTCACTTTTATCTTACCCCCACTTTACAAATCCACATCCCAAGATATGCTTTATACAACGCCCTTTTTGTTGGGGTCAGGGTGGGATGAGGTAGGGGGAGAATTACAATCTGTAGAGATTTTTTATAAACAAAGCATCCTAGTCTTTCCATGACTGAGCAAAAGTTAAACTGAAAGTACTACTTGGCTGATAACACTAACAGGGTAAGAGGAGAATAAAGTGATTCATGTGTACTATCCCAAATGTCCTGACCTGTTTTTCTTTTCTCCTTCCCCTGGCCACACTTCAGGCCTGTGGGCGCTCCATATCTGCCAACCCTAAAAGGAGTCTTAGGCTAGACTTTCTTCTTTAGAAGTCATGTGTTAAGAGCATAATTATCTGCTCTTGGGATAGAAAATTCATCTTTCAATCACTTGCAATCTTATCACACTTGTCTGACTTAACTTTTTATTTAAGTATTAAAACCTTGGGTATGTTGCTTAAAAATGTTTTCTCTCATTAAACACTAGGGAATTTTGGAGAAAAGAAGGGCATTTTATCAAGAATTTATTTAACTTTTCTAATGACTGCTTTCTAAATTCTGAGATTTAAAACATCAGTAGGAGAGTCAAGCCTTACAATCAATGAGTTAACCAAAAACAAAACAAAAAACCCTACTGACATTCTCCCAGCCCTTTCCAATTATAAAAGATCAATTTTATTCCCTTGCTTTTGCTGTATATTAAAGTCACAAAAGCATTCTCCAAAAAAAAAAAAAAACAAAAACAAACATGTTTTAAAATGGTAAAACAGGTATTCCATAAAAAAGTTAACCATGTCAGTTAACAACTATCAGACAACTCTTTACAGTACAATATTAAAGTTATGAATACCAAGGGATCTTTCCAAAATGGAAGAAAAAAGTTCTAATCCTGCATTTTCGGAATTATAATATTTGGCAAATTCAAACACAAAAACAAACAAGACTTTTTGATAGACTCTTAAATACATACTACTTACATGACACCTTGTAGAACTTTCTGGGGATCAGGGTCAAATAGCCTGTCAACATAGTGGCGACTGCTAGCTGTTACTTCCTAGAAAGTGGGGGGAAAAATTATGACATCTGAAGCCATGCAAATCACAAATTCACAGCATCACCCACATCAAACAGCTATTTAATTTAAGGCAGATGCATTAGAATTTCTATAAAAATACTTACTATATTAATCATTCTCAGAAAAGCTTGTGCCAAGATAAATAAGATGGGGAAGAGAGAAGATACCTAGTTCTCACTAAAACCGTAATTAGTGAGATCTTTGTGGCGATCCCTGCCAGCTTTGCCAACAGAACTGAGCATAAGTATTAAGAAGCAAGGTAAGTTTCTTAATCAACTGTTGGATGTCACCTTCATATGAACAACAGATAGGAGTATTGCTTCTGTTCAGTACCCACTAAAGGGAGAGAAAATCTGGCTCTCAGCAAGGAAAAAAGGGGAAGCACTTGATAAACAGTCCAAGAAGGGTAGTTCATAGGCAAGAGGAAGACATCCAGTCTGATGCAGAGAAGCTACGATGATAGGAAGCAGACATATGTAAAAACAAAAACAAAAACAAAGGTAAACGAGTTGTCACACTTTCTGTGAGGGATTTATCAAGTCCAACAGAGTTATCTAGTCTGAGATGGCTGAGGCTATGTAGAAAGGGGGGAGTTAAACATAAAGAGCAAGCAGAGACACTTACCTCTTTTTATTTGTACTGTGAAATTTCCTCTATTATATTATTTTCTGTAATACTTTGGGGGGGGCAATATTTTTTATATTTAATTTTCATTACTTAACTTAAGATTTTAAGTAATCTCTACACCCAACAAGGGGTTCAAACTCACAACCCCAAGATGAAAAGCAGCATGTTCTACTGACTGAGCCAACCAGGCACCCCATTTTTTTTTAAAAAAAGAACATACGTTTAAGAACTAGAGAAAAAGGATTTTTGTCCCTTCTGTTTCTTTCTGATGGCTGCTGAAATATGCCCCTGTACTGCCACCCATTCACAATGAATTATCATGGAGAGGAAGAAATACCGCTCCATTTTACCCAGAACCCCTAATCAGAAACAGCTAATTGACAAGACACAGTGCCAGCTTAAACCTCTGAGTCACCAAAAATATCTCTGGAGAAAAACTGCATAAACTCTAATTTCCTGATAGTAGAATTAATTCAAAATCAAAACATTTTTTTCCTATTATGAGCTTGCTACCAAAATATCCTCATAAGCAACCCAAATGCCTACTTTTAGTATGCACTCCATTTATAAAGAACAAACAGTGGCAGCAAACAAGCAAAACTGATAGAAATACTTGTGCCCAACAGATACCATTAAAGTACCTGCTAACAGGATTTGGTTTACTGAAAATAACAGAATCAGAGAGTTAAAAGGATTCTTAATAAGTATTTGTTCCAATCCCTTAGCTAACAAATGAGGGATGGATCTTTACTCTGATGTGAGATTACCAAAGTTTAAGTAGGGATGCAAACAACAGTACAAATACATCAAAAAATAATATATCAAGAGCAAAATCCAGAGTAAAACTCAAAATAGTATTCCTACAATATAAACAATGAGTTTTGTCACTCCACTTGAACATATGTGCTTCCCTGGGTTTCCAACATTTTAAGTCCTTCTGAGTACCTCAGACCCTTAGTTTCCCTTCTATCCAGGGGCTGATTTTCAGTTTTACTGTTCCTCTTCACATTCTCTCTCACAGCTCTGGATCTCTTGCCTCTCAATGTGGTTTGGAAAAGGTGCTTGGGTTTAAGACTTGTATCTTAAAAAACTTAAGTTTCACCCACGAACAGCAACTCTCTTTACTACTCTGTACCTGGTTCATTCAATTTTATAAGCACTGAATACCTGCTACATGCAAGGCATTGAGGAAGGCATTAAAGATTTTAAATTTAGCACGGCATGGTTCCTGCCCTCAAGAATTAATTCTCTACTGCAATTGTGTTTACACCTTTATATTCCCTACTAGAATATAAAACAGAAGTATAAACATATATAGGCAGCACTGAGGAGGGAGTTAGTAAACTAGGAGAATCTGTGATGAAGGCTTCTTAGAGGAGTTAGTTTTGTCAAACAAATAAGACAAGGGAAGAAAGAATCAGTGTCCCAACACAGCCTTAGTGCATATGAAGCCAACACATATATACCATTAGCAAGACACAAAAGGATGTTACAGCAGAACCTTGCATTTAAGGGGCTTGTAATCTAGAAGGGTGTCAGGCATGTACACACACACGCACAAAACAATCCTCTGAGCTAACTAGGTAGCAGTGAGCTAAGGGGATATAGTCACAAATTCAATTTTACTCTGTGCTTTTGCCCAACATATTCATTGATTTGTCTGTATGGGACAGTTCTTTTATTTTACTGCTTCCCTTTATAGACTAGGCACCTCTCCCCTTTCAGCCCTCTTCTCTTTCAAAAAACAACCTGGAAATTTAAGAATTTGGGAAAGAAGGCAATTGATAAAGATAGTAAACAAACTGGCCAGGGAAAGCTTCTCTAAGAAGGTGATTTTTGAGCAAAGACCTGAAGAAGATGAAGGAGTAAGTCATGTAGCCACCCAGGGGTGAAGCTGTTCAGGCAGAGAATGCCAAATGCAAAGGCTCTGAAAGTGGAAGTATCTTCTGTGATCAAACAACAGGAGGCCATTATAGCTTGGCGCAGAATGAGTGAAGGAGAAAGCCACACAAAATAAGTTCAGAGAAGAGGGGCCAGATGGTAAAGAGCTACACTGTCCAATATGATGGCCACTGGCCTCATGTGGCTATTGAACATCTGAAATTTGGCTAAGAACTGAACTTTAAATTTCTTTTTCGGGGGGGGGGGGGGGGCGGGGCGGCGGCCCAGAGAGAGAGAATCTTAAGTGTGCTCCATGCTCAGCAAGGAGCCAAATGTGGGACTCAATCCCACAACACTGAGATCATGACCTGAGCCAAAATCGAGTTGGATGCTGAGCCATTCAGGTACCCTGAATTTTAAATTTTTTAACTTTAATTAATTAATATGTAAAATTTTAAAACCAAGACTGGATTCGGTTATTAGGAAACTTTTAAGAATGTCTGGAACTACTTGGGTATGCATATCTACTTGTTTAACTGTAAACTGTATGAAACCGAAATGCCAATCAAGTATTTCCAATCAAAATTTGGCATCCAAATTGTATAAAATACACACCAGACTTTGAAGACTTGAGATAAAAAAGTAAAATAATTTAATTAATAATTCCTTATGTTGTGTTTTGAAATAAAATTTTAATACATTGGTTTAAGTTAGATATATTAAGATTAATTTTTTCTTTTTACTTCTGTAGCATGGCTGCTAAAAACTTTAAAAGTATATGTGTAGCTTAAATTAGTTTTCCACTGGATAGGGCTGGGATAGAGCCCTGTTAGTCATTGTAAGGATTTTGCTTTTTATGGTTTGAATTGGGACGCCATTAGAGTTTTGGGAAAAGAGAGACATGAACTGACTTGTTTTAAAAGGATCACTCTGGGGGTGTCTGAGTGGTTTAGTCAGTTAAGCCTCTGACTTCGGCTCAGGTCATGATCTCGCGGTTCATGGGTTCGAGCTCCACATCGGGCTCTGTGCTGACAGCTCAAAGCCTGGAGTCTGCTTCAGATTCTGTGTCTCCTTCTCTCTCTGCCCCTCCCCCACTCACACTCTGTCTCTGTCCTTCTCTCAAAAATAAACATTAAAAAATAATAATAAATAAACAAAAAAATAAGTAAATGGATCACTCTGGTTGCAATCTTAGAAACAGACAAACGCATGGAAGGGGATGGAGGACAAAAGCAGGGAGACGAGTGGGAGGCTGTTTCAGTATCAGAAATGCTGTTATTTCAGAGAGATGATGGTAGCCTGGACTAGGACAAGAGTTTTGAAGGTAGTAAAGTTCACTCAGATTCCAGATAAATGTTGAAGTTGAAATGACTATCAAATTGGATATGCTGTCAGAATAGATATGGGCTATGAAAGAAGAGAGGAGCCAAGAGTAACATTTAAGGTTTTTTGCCAGAGTATCCAGAAAGATTTGAGGTGTCAATTAATGAGCTAAGTACGACTGTAAGTGATGCAGATTTGAGAAAACCAAAAATTCAGTTTTGAATATGTTAGGTTTGAAAATTTTATTAGCCATCCAAATGAGAATGTCAAGTTGGCAGCTGGATATAGGAATCTAGAATTTAGGAGAGAGTAGTGGGCTAGAGATACAAATCAGGGAAGTGCCAGCATGTTAATGGGAGGAGTTCACTAAGGGAGTTCACTTTACCATGGATAAAGCAAGGTCAGAAGAGTGAATGCTGGAGCACCTGGATCAAGAAGAATTCCCCAAATGAGAGAATGTTTCAAGGAGAAAGTAATCAAATATCTCACATATGAATAAAGTACAGCATAAGATGATGACTAGGGCCTGATACAAAAATATGGAAGTCATCAGCAACCTTGTTAAGAGCAGTAGAGGCAGACTGGTGAAGCCAATGACCACTTGAAGAGGGCATAAAGGAAAACAGGAAAAGAGAAATTAGAGAAAATACAACTCTTTCAAGGAGTTTCATTTTGCAAAGGAGAGTGAAGAAACAGACTAGTAGCTAGAGGGAGAAGTGGAGTCAGGAGACCATTTTTTTTAAAGATGTAATTAATTAGAGCATAGTTATTCACTGATGAAAAATCTTTTTTAATTTAAACATTTTTAATGTTTATTTTTGAGAGAGACAGAGCATCAGCCAAGGAGGGGCACCGAGAGAAGGAGACAGAGAATCCAAAGCAGGCTCCAGGCCCTGAGCTGTCTGCATAGAGCCCAATGTGGGGCTCAACCCCACGAACTGTGAGATCATGACCTGAGCTGAATGAAGTAGGACACTCAACCAACTGAACCACTCAGGCGTCCCTGGAAACTTTTTTAATAGAGAAAAAATATGCTGCAATGAGGCAGCAGGAGAACTTTTGGAGCAATGTTCATGAATAATTGAGAGGGAACAAGATTTACTGACCAAGTAGAACACGGAAGGTATAATAACTAGAGAGAATTAAGA